CTATTTACCCCGATTAATAACACTTTCTTTGGAGGGTGAGAGTAAAAGGTGCACACAAAACTATCTAGTAATCATCTTCAACTTCCCACCAACAAATCTACCAATCTCCTTGCAACTGAACCATATACTTTGTCCCACTCCCATTAAATTCGATGAACTCTCTCTCAAAGGCCAAGCCATTCATTTGTACATTGTATCACTTCTCAAGTACTTTGTTCTTGGAATTACCCCTTCTATCTCCTCTACTAGATAACTCCTATTAGCATCCAACAGGGTATAACATCTGTTATTTTTAAAACCTTTTAATCCATATCTGCCTCCTCCTATTACTGTATTGCTTTGTTCTTTGTATAGTAAAATTCCTCAAAAAAGTGTCCATCCTGATGTCTTCTTACCCCATCCCCACTGTGTATTTTATTTCATTGCTTAAAAAATGAGATATTAATATACATATATATGTATATACATGTATAATATACATATATATGTGTGTAATATATGTATACATATATGTATGTATAACATCTTATGTAAAAGATAACAGAAAACCAGTTTTAATATAGCAAAAAGAATAAAATACAACAAGCACCTGTATTTCGTCACTCAGTTTAAGGTTAGCACATTTCTGGTAACTGTGACGTTTACTCTGTAACCTTCCAATCCTTTCCCTTACTCCCTAGCTTTATTGAATTATAATTAACATATAATTGTGTACATTTAAGGTGTACAACATGATGATTTGGTATGCACATGTACTGTGAAACAATCATAATAAGGTTACTTACATCTCAGTCACCTCACATAGTTAGCTTTGTGTGTGTTGAGAAAATTTAAGGTCTTCTCTCCTGGCAACCTTCAAGCATGTGATACAGTAGTGCTAGCTTTAATCGCCATACTGTACGTTAGATCCCCAGCACTTGTTCACCTTGTAACTGGAAGTTTGTACCCTTGGCTGGCATCTCCCCATTTTCCCCACCCCCTAACAACCCTCAGTCTATTCTTGTGTCCATGAGTTCAGTTTTTATCTTTTTTTTTTTTTTTTTTTAGATTTCACATATGAGTGAGGTTATACCTTCTCTTTGAATTAACTTCACTTACTCAGGGTTCATCCCTGTTGTTGAAAATGGCAGGATTTCCTCCTTTTTTATGGCTGAGCAATATTCATACATATATATATGTATAATTTCATATGTAAAAGATAACAGAAAACCAGTTTTAATATGCAAGAACTTAAAAATATATCCAAGCCATTTTAAAAATATTTATGCAAATATGTTTAACATGAAAATTAAGAAATTTAGGAAGATAAAATTATTGTGTGAAGATTGATGGTAAGCCTTAAAGACAGTTAAATATAGAGGTAAATGAATGTAATTGTGGATATGAAACCAGATTAAGAATAGTTACTTAATATAATTAATTAAATCTAATCCTTAAGATTATATTAATAATGACAGTAAGTAAGAAGGAGTGTGGAGGATTACATATTACAAAGAGAAAAATAAAAGATATAAGTCTTGGATTTGACAGTTAAGCAAAATATAGTTTAAGAATGTTAAAAATACCTATAAGACTCCATAGGCAGCAAAATTGCAGAAATATGTCATAGGAATATCTTTACCAACACAGCTCCTAGGGCAATGGAGACTAAGGAGAAAATAAACAAATGGGACTACATCAAAATAAAAAGCTTCTGCACAGCAAAAGAAACCATAAACAAAACAACAAGAAAGCCCACTGCATGGGAGAACATATTTGCCAATGTTATCTCTTATAAGGGTTTAATCTCCAACATTTACAGGGAACTCATACAACTTAACAAAAGGAAGATAAACAATTCAATCAAAAAATGGGCAAAGGACCTAAATAGACACTTTTCAAAAGAGGACATACAGAAATGCTCAAAGTCACTAATCATCCGAGAGATGAAAATCAAAACAACAATGAGATACCATCTCATACATGTCAGAATGGCTATCAACAAATCAACAAACGAAAAGAGCTGGCGAGGAGGTGGAGAAAAAGGAACACTTGTGCACTGCTGGTGGGAATGCAGACTGGTGCAGCCACTGTGGAGAACAGTATGGAGTTTCCTCAAAAAGTTAAAAATGGAACTCCCATTTGACCCAGTAATCCCACTTCTAGGACTATATCCCAAGAAACCAGAAACACCAATCAGAAAGGATATTTGAATCCCTATGTTCATAGCAGCACAATTTAAAATAGCTAAGATTTGGAAACAACCTAAGTGCCCATCAGCAGATGAGTGGATTAAAAAACTGTGGTACATCTACACAATGGAATACTATGCTGCTGTAAAAAAGAAGGAACTTTTTACCATTTGCAACAGCATGGATGGAACTGGAGAGCATTATGCTAAGCGAAATAAGCCAGTCAGAGAAAGATAAATATCACATGATCTCACTCATTTGTGGGATATAATGATCAACATAAACTGATGAACAAAAACAGATCCAGAGACAAAGGGCAGGGGAAGTCCGGGGGGAAGAGGGGGTTAGAGATCAACCAAAGGACTTGTACGCATACATATTAGCATAACCAATGGACACAGACACTGGGGCGGTGGGGGGGAGGTCAATCGAGAAAAAAGGAGACATATGTAAAACTTTAGACAATAAAAAATGTTAAAAATAACCACTTATGGAATTAAAACATCATCTTCCATATCACTGGATAAAAATAAAAAAACACACAAGATATTATCCATAGGAATGAAAGAATACAAATTACTAAAAGGTAGAAAATCCTCTAAAAACATAAGATAATGATATAAGATCACACAGGTCAGAGATTTCAATAAATGTGTTTTAATCCTTGTTGAAGGACAAATAATCTCCTTCATTAGCTAAAAGATAAGAATCTTATCTTATCATGTTACCTGTTATGCTAGTGCACAATTCTAATTTATTTTCTTCATGGTACTTATCACTAGTAGAATTACTGCATTTGTTTATTGTCTTATTCATACCTGTAATATCGGAGCTCAATAAATATGTGTCATATCAATCAGTGAAATATGAATAAATAAATGAATACTACAAATCTCAAAGACAGATTAAATACAAAAGTAAGCAAGAAGAAAGCAGAGATTACAATAAAAATATTATTTGAAAATAACAGCAAAATACTTTTAAAATATAGAGAAGATATTTTTGTTGTTGATAAGACAAAATCCATAATGAAATTTAAAAGTCACAAAACCTATTACATCAAATACCAAGATCAACATATACAAAACAAAAACATAGAAATACAGGCAGCCGTAACCGGTTTGGCTCAGTGAGCGTCGGCCTGCGGACTGAAAGGTCCCAGGTTCGATTCCGGTCAAGGGCATGTACCTTGGTTGCGGGCACATACTCAATAGGGAGTGTGCAGGAGGCAGCTGATCGATGTTTCTTTCTCATCAATGTTTCTAACTATCTCTCTCCCTTCCTCTCTGTAAAAAAATCAATAAAATATATTTTTAAAAAAGAAATACAGGCAGAAATTACAGAATTACAATGAAGATGAGTGACTAATATACTTCTAATAATTTACTCTCTTGAATGTATATGTATGTATTTTATATGCATAAACATAACTTTGTACCCAACGAAGTATTTTCTATGTAGGCATATATTGTTTAGTCAGAAAATAATCATTACTAAAAAGTACTTACTAGATTCCATTGGGAAAAAACCTTGACAAGCTTTTTTGCTTAAAAGCTACTAGAAAACTAATTCGAGGAACTGAAATAAAAAATTGGAATAGATATAAATTTAGATGTAAAAAAATGTTAAGTTTAAGTATCTGGAAGACATTACTAAGTCTGGTCTAACATTTTTTGTGAATGTCAGAGTTATCTAATACCTTCTAAGTAATACAACCTCAAACAGGCAAATTACAGGAAGATCTCCTAAGCCTGAATGAGTGGCCAGAAAAACGGACGAATGCTTTCAGAAGGCACCAGCACAGTTCTACAGCCACATGTTAAATAATGGTAACTTTCCTGCACAAAACTGCTCAATGTGATTTCAGAATGCCATGTGCATTGCCTATATGCTATGCCTTGAGAAACAAAAGAGAAAGAATGAAGGTAATGTTTACTGAGCAAATAGGTATTGTTCGGGTATGTAATTGCATTTAATAATCAGTGCCTGAAAGTATGGCTGTGTTCATTCATTTAACAGATACTTCCTGAGCACTTCCACTATTGCCAGGCATTGCTGTAAGCACTTGGAAGGACATACAACAAAACTGGGTGAAATATATTGTATAGCAGTAGATGGTGATAGGCACTATGAAGAAATAAGCAGAAAGTAGAGATGGAGACACAGTCTTAAATAAAGTTAGTCAGGAGAGGCTTTCCTGAGAAGATGGTCACCTGTAGGAGATGAGGGGAGGGTGTTCCCGGCCAGGACAACCAATACAAAGGCTCTGAGGCAGGAAGCAGTGAGGGTGGAACAGTGAACAGAAATGGGAGTATGACAGACAAGGCTACGGGGAGACCAGACTGAGTAGGGCCTTGAGGTTTGACTTGAACTTGAAAGTGATCTGCCTTGTGTTTGAAAAAAAATTTGTGTCCTTTGCATAGTTGAGAATAGACTACTGTGAATGAAAAGGGGGCTCTATGGAAGCTGTCCTCACATGGTGGGTAGCCATGCCCCAGACATATACTTTTTTTAGTAAAAGGTTTATCTTTGCCTTAAGCAAGCCCTGTCTATTGTTTCTATGCACCTAGTTTACCTTAGGAATGCTTCTTTTCAGACCCCTCAAGCAAAACCACCCTCTGGAGAGCACATACTGTTGTTAACTATCCTGTAATACAAACCCTGCCTTTGTTTCTTCTGCCTTCCTTACAACTCCCTCCTCAATTCCAAATGCATTAAGGACGCTGCAGACTGCTATTCTAGGAAGCATTTTTCTCAGTCTGTTGAGATCTTGCTTCCAGGTGTACCCTTTGTTTGGCTCTAATACATTTTTATAAAATTTCTCTACAGGTTTGGACACTGTTACATTGACACTGCTGAGCAGCAACAATGGAGGAGAGAGTTAGGAAGCTACTACAGGAATCCAGGGACGAGAAACGGTTGCTTAGACCTGGATGACAGTGAAAGAGGCAAGAAGTGATGGATTCTGGATGGATCTGAAGGTATAGAATTTGCTGATCAATTGGATGTAGGTATGAGAGACAAGAGGAGCCAGCATAACTCCAAAGATTCAGCATGAACAACTGGATATATTTTCAATATTTGCATTTTACAGGAAAGATAACTAGGTATTATTCCAAAGCGTATGGTCTTCCCACAATGTTTCATTACTTGAGGAAAAACGCAACTGAAATTATGTGCATAAAGCATTACCACACAGATTACAGACTTTTCATTTTACAAATGAAGGTTTAATAATTGGTAATATCACCCTGACTCATGGGATTTATTGTTCAACAATAAATTATTGACACATATGGTACAGGCTGGAAAGAGGATAGGAAATTTACAGATGACAGAATCATATCAGGTTATCTAGGGACACTTGGGTAGAGCTCCACATTCTTGAGGCGGATGGCATGATAAATTATCCATAGAATCTCCTTGGAAACCAATGTTTGACAGAAGGAGATGGAGAACAGACTTTCCTATGATGAGATAGGCAAACACCGTTTTGCTCTGGCTTCTTCATTTCAACTATTTCAAATAGAAACTTGAAAAAGTAATTACAAAGATACTTTTAAGAGCTGTGTTTTGAACAGTCAGCATATATGTATACCTTTCCAATTAGTTTTCCAAAATGTAAAGATTAACAGGCTCCAAGAAAGGTATTTAATTCCTTCAAGCTTTCTCTTTATATTGTTTCATATGTCCCTGCAATGTTAAGTTGATGTTGTTGAGAGAAGATGTAATTCTTTTCCACTCTTCTTATTGGAAACATTACATTGGACTTACAGAGTCAATCTTCTATCTGGTGTTCTTTGTCTAGACCAGCGGTTCTCAACCTGTGGGTCGCGACCCCTTTGGCGGTCAAACGACCCTCTCACAGGGGTCAACTAAGACCATCCTGCATATCAGATATTTACATTACGATTCATAACAGTAGCAACATTACAGTTACGAAGTAGCAACAAAAATAATTTTAAGGTTGGGTCACAACATGAGGAACTGTATTTAAAGGGCCAGAAGGTTGAGAACCACTGGTCTAGGCACATGAACGTGCCATGAGATGGTAATTCCCAACAGTTAGTTCTCTTACACCTGCCCCCTCCCTGGACATCCCTATTTCAGTAAAAAGTACATCTCTCTATCTTCCCAGTCACCTTGACCCAGCTCCTTCCTGTCCTTCACCTCTATATCAGGACAGTGCCAATATCAAAAATACTAACTCCGCAGGATGCCTCATGTGTATAAGAACTCTCACTCTCAATGCTAACAGGCCAGGAACGACTCTGGTCAGTCCCCACTGCACTTGATTGGCATGCTGGGGCCGGCTTCATTTTAAAGCCTGGCTCCGGTCATATCATGCTTTCAAAACCCTGTACTGGCTTCATGTTGCACTCTTCCACCTGCGTGTCAGGGCCCTCCACAGTGTGGCTCCAAGCTGCCTTTCCAGTCTTATCTCCTGGCACTTCCTTTTCAAGGTCACTCCAACTCTAGCAAAACCACTCTTCCCAGAACCTGCCTCTGTTTCAGAAGCTCAGGCCTTGACTCACACAGAAACGTTCCCTCTTGTCTATCAAAAGTTGCCCTATCCTTCTGGTCCTGTCTCTAGTGGGGCTCATAAGAAGCTCCAGCTGTTGCCCCTGATCCTGTTATCCTCACCCAGTGTGCACAGCACTTAATGCAGCCTGCAGACCTGAGCCCCTTTCTTATCTTCAACACGTATTCCAAGCTCCTAGAAGGTGACAAGTGTGCTTTGCACATCTCGCAGTCGCCCATGGTGGAGGGATGGTGCCTCACACAAAGTCAAGTTCAGGGATTATCCGTGCCCCGGAGTGTTAAAGAGTGGAGATGTCTTAAACCAGGCTGTTTTTAAACTTGACCATTAAAAGCCATGAACATTTCCCTTTCACTTCATAACAGGATATCAGTGGAGACAAACGATATAACCGTATCTTCCCGGCCTCTTCAGTGTTCTTCCTACTCTTCTGTATAAATAGAGTTTGCATTATGGTGATTAAAAGTCCCCTGTAAAACGGTGTCACGGGGCCATATCTGGGAAGGGAGGATCAGTGCTAATCTGTTCCTTACTCACTATTGACTAAGGGGAACATGAGATGATATGTTTGGATCAGAGACAGAAAGGAAATGGAGTTTTCAAGGGAGAAGAAAAAAATTACAAAAGAAAAACCTGTTTCACAAAATGCAGTCTGTGGAAAATCTTTCAGCTGAATGTCAAGATTAAGAAAAATCAATAAAACCTTTGAAACCAGAACTATGTGAAAGGCTTTTTTAGGCTTGATGGCAAAAATACAAAGCTATGGCTTCAAAAAAGTAAAATCTTCCAGTAACTGCAAAAGCAGTTCTTCAATATTCAGGAGACTCCATGGCCCCCAAACATGTTCAGCACAAATTGCTTATTACAGAGATAGGGCCAGTCCAGATTCAAAGGGCCAGCGTTTTCAAAGGGACTTTCACCAAGGCTGTAATTAGTTGTTCTGGCAAAACTGCACACACGTCTAATTGCACATACAATTGGCTAATTGTATCTTCAAAATAAAGGGTAAAGGGTTAATTGTATCCACATCTGGCCACAAAGAAAGAGACTGTCCTTTGAAAATATGACACTCCACTTAGATGAAAATTTGCATTAAACAACCATCCCTATTACTACTACTAATTATAATAATACCACATGCTTACAAATTAATAAATACCTTTCATCATGATCCTAAAAACACTTCACAAACATTAATTAATCTCACAATACTCCTACGCGGTATGAAAAGCGATTATCCCAACGGTGTCAATGAGGAAATACAGGCAAGTTAGGTAACTGTGGAAAGCCACTGAGGGAACTGAAGCTCCCAGCCCCCAGCTCTGTACACTGGCCCCGGTCACCAGGGAGGTTCAGTGGGGAGTCTGGTTCACGGAATCAGCGAAAATGAGCCTAAAACCAATGCAAAACTCAGTCATCAAAATTTCCAGAGTCAAAACTGGCCTGGGATTCAGAGACTACCTTGACTTCTTTCATTCAAAGAAACATACAGTGCATCAAGGATGGCACTAACAAGTAGAACTTTTTTGCTCCTTGGTTTAATTTTATGATCAAATATTTCAGATCATTTTAAAAAAGTACAGGTCACTACAGCCATCGCAAAACCAACCACTCTTCCCAGAACCTGCCTCCATTTCAACAGCTCAGGCCTTGACTTACACAAAATGCATCCCCAATGATTGGTTCTTTCAAAAATATGTAAGAAGAAGAAGTCTCTGTAAGAGATGGGTGCTTGGGATGTTCTGGCTACAGCAGCTCTGAGAAGAGGACATAGGGCACGAGGTAAGGGACTGAAACGTAGTAAAAGTAATGTTACCTCAATTCAAATCGCCAGTCAGGAGCATCCAATTTATACCAGCCCAGAATAGCTACCTTAACACAAATAAATTCCTTATAAATACACACGTACTATGTCATTAGTACTCGTGTAACCTTAATACCTTCTTTAAGAATGAAATATGAGGGTTCATTTCTAACAACAAAAAAATACACGTTTCAAAGACTTATTTATTTTTAATAATTAAAGCAAATGTTCTCGTATCCACACCAGAAATGTTTGGATGATTTTCTTATTCATCAGAACTGATGATAAATTCTCTATGCAGATATTTATAAAGATGTGGAGAGATGAAAATGCTCCCTCGATTCAATTCCCTTTTCCATGAAGACACATGCTGGAACACCAAGGTGAGCAAGACAGTGCCTGCTTTCACAGACGCAGGTCTATGCATTTCCTCATCATCACCCAAACCCTACCAAAGCTCTTCCTACCAGGGTTTTGAAGCAATATCCAATAGAAGAATAGAGAAAGTCAGGGACAAGGAAAACAGAAACCAAATATGCTGGAACTAAGAATCAGTATGACTGTTTCTACACTTCAAAGTTGGCTCAAAGTTACTGATCACCCAGAGCAATAAAAGACAGACACACATCTTACAAAAGAAAGAAAGTGGGGAAAGAGAGAGAACGAGATACTGGAATATAGAACTAAGTTTTTAAGAATGCCTACTAGAGGTAAAAATCAATATAGTGTTGGAGGGCCTAAAAAGGAGAACTGACTTCCGCCCCAGTGGGGGGAGGTGGGGGAAAAGTCACTTCCGGGCTGGGCTTGAAGGTCAGGGCTGAGCCCCATCGTGGCTGCTGCAGAAAGGGCATTCCACACTCAATACAGGAGGCAGGTTTGGGAAGTGAAGGTAGATTCGAGCCCGGAGTACAAGCTGGAATGCAGTCCTAGACGGGCCTGGCAAGAACTCCAGCCCCACTGGCAAATGCCATGCTAAAGTACAGGTAACACTAGATGTTTGAGGGGGGAGGGGAAAGTGGGAATACAACTTTTTCTTCCTTTTTTTTTCTTCTAAGTATAAACCCTTGACACCATGTAAAGAATGGACCAGGAAGGCAAAAGTCAGGAGGAAGAAAGATCTCCGGAAGCTCTGTCATAAATCAGATGAGGGATGATAAGGGCTCATCGCTGGCCCTGCCATAGCAGAGGTAAAGGAAAGGACAAACAAGAGATTCTGACAGGACTCGGTGAATAATTAAATGTCAGGAAAAGATGAGTCAAGCATGACTGGAGCTCCTAAATCTACCTGACCGTGGATACCCAGAGGGTGGATACGGCATGTTTTTCTACCGTTTTATTAGGGCCAATGTCAATAAAATTAACATATACCTGTGTGTCGTACTATTTTCCACCAGTGAAAAGTATGCAATATTGTTCTTAAAAATCTTTAAAATAAAAATGGAATGTGCTGTCAACCATGGTATGAGACTGGTTATGTTTCTAGCTCAGGTTTCAGCATTTTCCTTTTCTTCTTATTTACATTTATAAAAAAGAAAGGGAGCTTTAATTCTGTTTCCAGAGATGGATATGATTTGCACTCTCTAAGTGTCTTCGCATCCTCCTCCCACATGGCCGGGGATAATGCAAAACTATGATCAAAAGTAAATGCTTAAAAACTACTTGCTGAATGAACACATTTAAAAATTAAAGTCAAATAGACATCACCTGTTCCCCAAAGCTGTGGACAGTGATTGCTGTTAGTATCTGACTGTTAAACACAGGTGTGTAGGGAATTTCTGCTGTTCATTAAATGACAATTTTAAAATGTCATCAGGAAAACTGTATATCCCAAATAATTTACTCTTATCACCCAATGTGTTGCTATGAAAAACTGCTTGCTGCTCCACCAAAGCCAAGTCCTCATTAGTGCTGGTGCTAACTATTGCTATAGATAGAACAGGAAAATGTTTGGGAGACACTGCCATGCTCTTAGGTCTCCGTAGAAAGTGGCATGACTGTATGGTCAATATAATACAATTAGAATGTTACCCTTTACAATAGTGGTCCACCTCTGTGTTTTGAAGGAAAACCACTGATTTTTATCTATCCTAATTAAAAAATATTGTCAGTGACCTCCTAACACATGCAAAATAGAGGTCAAGCTTTTAGATTTGATATTCAGCTCCCAGATGATCCGGACCAATTAACTTCTAGTCACAATTCCCTCTAGGCTGGCCGTGATGCCTGCAGAGTGAGGGTCGGTACCACTGATTGTGCAAGGGCGGAGCAGGAGGAGGAGGAGCCCTGGGAGGCGAGGGTTCAGGGAGGCTTCATGGGCTGAAGGCAGGGTGGAGGGCAAGACAGGTCAGGGGCTATATCCTTTCCTTCCTAGATCAAAGCCTTAGTGGCAAGCCCTCAGCCTTGCACGTGTGAGCATGTGTGTGTACATACAGAGGTCAGCGGGAGGGGTCCCTGGGGGTAGACCTAACTGCTGTGAGCTCAGAACCAGG